TGTGCAAAGGTCGAACAATACTTCTCCCAAAGAAAGGTGATTTGACACATCCAAAAACACTTCCGCCCTATTACTCGTCTGAATACACAATTCAAAATATTTACAGGTAGTCCTACACATCTTGTGTCATCATACTGCCGTTCCAATGACATTATTTACACAGAGCAGAAAGGAGCCAGAAAGGGAAGTTGTGGTTGAAAGGACTAATTGCTAGTTCAGAAAAGGATCCTTGAAGAGGCTAAAGATTACCAACGCAACCTCTCAATGTGTTGGATAGACTACAGAAAAACTTATGATTCGGTACCTCACGAATGGATTTTGAAGTCACTGGAATGTATTGACCTTCCCTAACGACTACTTGTTTTACTTTATGAATTGCCCGTCAACTCAACTTGAGATGTATGTAACCCATTTCTGTTGGAAGAGGAATATTTCAGGGCGATTCTTTTAGCCCTTTGCTTTTCTGTTTGTCACTAAATCCTTTAAGCTTTTAGCTTAGCAAAGAGGAAGATTATCATCCGGAACCTCCTCAGCACAGATCCCCAACACCCCTTACTCACCTCCTTTACATGAGGCCCGTGAAGACGCCGGGGAAGAATAGGTCTTCAGCAACCCATACTTGTCGTAAAAGGCGACTAACGGGATCGGGTGGTAAGGCTCGCTGACTTGGTTGATACATGTCATCGATCCCAATTGCGTGGATCGACGCTCATGATGTCAATCACTGGACTGTCTGGTCCAGACTCGATTTTTTTACAGACCGCCGTCATATAGCTGGAATATTGCTGAGTGCGGCGTTAAACAACAAACCAACCAACCTTTACATGGATGACCTTGAACTCATTGCCAATGGAGGATCCACACTCAAAATTCAGATTCTCATTGTCGGGTCTTTTTCTGATGATTTCGGCATGTCCTTTGGACTCGGCAAATGCAACATTCTTCATCTGAAACGCGGCAAGGTAGAAGAGGGAGGATCAGTCAGTTTACTTGGGGGAGGAGTTATTGACCATCTCGTGGAAGGTCAGGCCTATACGTACTTAGGGATTCAGATTAGGGAAAAACTCCAGAATGTCCATATCAAGGAAAAACTCGGGCAGACTACAATTGTAGACTTAAGAAAATCTGGAGTTCAAGAGCTGAACTCTCGCAATGAAGTTAGGGCCACAAATACGTATGCTGTACCCCGGACGAAACAAGAAATTCAGGCTACTGACACCCTCTTACAAAGAATCGTGTCAGACAATAGATACCCCCACCCGCATGACAGAATTGTATTGCGCACTTTTGCACACATTTATTTGTGTGATGATCCTCTTGTGAAGCATGTCAAAACTCATGGTGAAAACAGGGCATTCCACAGTTTTCTCAAAAGAGATAAGGATGTGGGTCATAATCTCAATGTCGGTGTTGATTTTTTTGTTGGTTCTGTACTGCTGGACGGTACAGAAATGAGTGTCAACCAAGCGAAGTGCCATATCAAGTCGGCCCAGGCTCAGTTTTTCAATGAGAGGCTATCTGAATGACCACTGCATCGGATTTATGTGCAGTTCTTGAGAAGATCAGCGACCCTTCGCTTTGAGTGAAACAGAAGATTTCCCAAGTAGTAAGTTGTCAGACTCCCCATTATTCTCGGTAATACCAGGAATAGAGCCCTTCTGACAATCTGGGTAATGCAGAAGGCTGCAGTGTTGGGGAATCTTCACATTCTCCTAAAAGTTTTGGGTCGGTTTGACTAGACAGCGCTTCCTGGGAGAAGTCCCATTCGCTGTCTGGGCTGCGTGTAGAGGGGGCAAGGGCCCTGAGCTGATGATGAGCCTAACCAGCCTGACTTGTGCCAGGATCACCCAAACCCCCTCTGCTGCATTTTTTATTTTAATCTGTGCAAAATAATTATAACTATAACCTCCCGCTTTAAGCTGACATGCAGTGACATAAGTGGAATACTGATCAAAAGCAAACTCACTCACTAACTGAAATTACAAAATGAATAATAACTTGTGAATAGTTTTGAACAGTGTCTCCCCAAAGTGTATAACAAAAACTGTCACCAAAAATATAACTAACTTATTTTTTCAAACATCACTTTTTTTCAGTAATCACGATATGTACATCAGGATGCTACCGTTTAAGAGTGAGTGAGTGAGAGTGAGTGAGTGAGTGAGTGAGAGTGAGTTAAAATGTAGAAGGTGAGACGAAATGGCTTATGCCGCTTTGTAGGACGCTTTGACCTTGATCGTAAATATATGACGAAGTGGATCCCAGGCTATCTGTTAAAAAAACCCTGAGATGTAGAACGAGGTAAATGACCTCTCTAGCCCCACCTCATATGGAATCATGCCTTTTTAAATCGAAAAATAATGATACGACTTTTTGTTTATGACAACATTTTAACAAATGTTTCCAATCTAACCAAACAGTCAAGAGTAGTTTTTTTAAATATATCATTGTGTATTGTTCCACATGGAATATTTGGAACAGGATTAATTGTTTCTATGTACAAAGTAATCTGTTATTGACCATTCTTTCCATGGCCTTACGAACACAGCTAGGAAGTGATATAGGCCTATAGTTAAAAGGATTAGTATGATCCCGGCAAGGTTTAGATATTGGAATTATAATACACTTGCCTCTTGAAAGGTAAATTTTGAATTGATCAAATATTTATATATATTTCTAAGCATGAATCAGGTAAATGTTTACGAAGTTGATAATGAACATTATCAGGCCCTGAAGCAGTATCATGAGCTTGGCCCAAAGCAGTATGCATCCCATGAATGGAATAGAATCATCATTATTAAAATTAATTTTCATTTCTTCTTACTTTTTTTTTTAATTTTTAAAATTGGTGGATAATTCGATGATCATGAGAGTTTTCATAAAGTTTCACCCAATTTATTTTCTTTATCTTTCGAAACACTAGAATTACAACTTCCCCCTCATCTTTTGCACCACATTGGAGATATCATCCAGATGTCGGTGTTCGCGAACACCTGGTATCATCACTATTTGATAGGGAGTCATAAACATATGCTCAGGATATAGTCGGAACCATCGCACAATGGACTTTTGACAAATTTGTCTTTTGATAATGACATTATTTTTTCGCTTTTATCTTTCTTGTAACAGTTTTACCATGACTGTTTCGTTTAATGGAATGACGAACGCGTTTTGTTTGTCCGTTCAGCGTTCAGAAATATTCCAGCTATGTGACGGCGATCTGTAAATAATCGAGTCTGGACCAGACCCAGTGATTGACATAATGAGCATCGATTTACGCAATTGGGATACGATAACATGCTTCAACCAAATCACCGAGCCTGACCACCCGATCCCGTTAGTCGCCTCTAACGAGTGTTGCTGAAGATCATTTCTAACCCTGATCATCGCAGGTGCGGAAAGCGAGTATTGTGAAGGACGAGTTTCTATGTATGAGTCAATATGTAGGACGTAATACCCCTGACACGTGTTGAGGGGTCACCCAAACCCTGAACCTGCCAATCCCTCTGATCCCCAATCAAGGTCATCGGTAATGCTGTGTCATATCTGTATTTCAGTGGGACAGTCAGTATGTGTGTCAAACTCACATCGCCGCATATATAACCACATTTTCGTAAGAAATCTTTTGTCAGTTTTTATAAACAATCAACTGTATAATTTTACTCATGACAAGCATTGACATGGTGAGTATTTGTTAACAGGTGGGTATTGTAACAACCCTCAATTGTTTTTTCATTGGACACGAATTGATCACATCCAATAAAAATATATAAACCTATTCAAAGTATTACAGATGGAAGCCTGACAAATCGAAGACATATCGAAGAGCTTGGACCTTTTGTCACCGATCTCCAGTCTGCTGAGTCATGGTGAGTTGCTTGTTTGATCCATCGACTAGTAAGAATGCAATCAGCGATCTGACACCCTTTCAATGAGATACCTGATGCCTTTGATAGATATGCGTTATTGAATCTAGAATAGGCTTTATTCGAACTCTTTGGTGCCAAGACCAGGCATCAATCTGACTATGGTATCTTGAATAGACGACCCGTGAAGATCCGGGGTAGAATAGCTCTTCAGCAACCCATGCTTGCCGTAAAAGGCGACTATGCTTGTTGTAAGAGGCGACTAACGGGATCGGGTGGTCAGGCTCGCTAACTTGGTTGATGCATGTCATCGTATCCGAATTGCACAAATCTGTTTTTTTATTGTTTAACGCCGCAATATTCCACCATGGTGACGGCGGACTATTATATATAATCAAATCTGGACCAGACAATCCAGTGATCGATATTGTGAGCAACGATCCGCGCCGTCGGGGTACGAGGACATGCTTTCAACCAAGCCTGATCGATCGCAGGGACTGATTCATTGTATAACAAGCATAGGTTGCTGGGGACTTATATTCCTACCAATAATCCCCACGGGGTTTGGTAGAGCGGTGCACTCGTCGTTACATGTTGATCGAACAAGTGAGTGAGTATGATTTTACGCCACTTCTAGCAATATTCCACAGCGGGGGAAACCAGAAATGGATTTCACAGATTGTACCCATGACGGGACTTGAACTCGGACATTCGGCGTGACGAGCGGAACGTTTAACACAAGGCTACCCACCGCCCTGTTTGAACAAGAAGATGCTGCGGTTAAGTAAGGGGATATTGGAATGAGGCAATGTCTGTCCAACATTCTCAGAATAAACGGCCAAAGGAGGATCGATACAGTTTGGCATATCCAATGTACGTAAACGGCTGGAAATATATACTGCTGTTTCGCAATATCCCTCTCGGCAATGAATTTCCCGCAATACACCATCATGTGCCGTTATCCCGGCGTGCTATTTGTAGATGTTGTCGCACAGAAATTTTGTCATTTCTTGTTTTTAAGGTCTGACAAATAAACTTGGGGAATCAATACATAATATATATTGGGACAACAGTATTTTTTCACAGGCAACAAGGTTAACACGGGCAACACAGGCAACGCGAGTAAAACAGGCAATGCAGGCAACAAGGATAACACAGGCAACACGAGTAAAACAGGCAACACAGGCAACGCGAGTAAAACAGGCAATGCAGGCAACACGGATAACAGGCAACACGAGTAAAACAGGCAACACAGGCAACGCGAGTAAAACAGGCAATGCAGGCAACACGGATAACACAGGCAACACGAGTAAAACAGGCAATGCAGGCAACACGGATAACACAGGCAACACGAGTAAAACAGGCAACACAGGCAACGCGAGTAAAACAGGCAATGCAGGCAACACGGATAACACAGGCAACACGAGTAAAACAGGCAACGCGAGTAAAACAGGCAATGCAGGCAACACAGATAACACAGGCAACACGAGTAAAACAGGCAACGCGAGTAAAACAGGCAATGCAGGCAACACGGATAACACAGGCAACACGAGTAAAACAGGCAACGCGAGTAAAACAGGCAATGCAGGCAACACAGATAACACAGGCAACACGAGTAAAACAGGCAACGCGAGTAAAACAGGCAATGCAGGCAACACGGATAACACAGGCAACGCAGGCAATACGAGTAAAACAGGCAACGCAGGCAACGCAGGTAACACGGGGAATACAGACAATACAGGTAACACAGACAACGCAGGTAACACAGGCAACGCGAGTAAAACACGCAACACAGGCAACGCGAGTAAAACAGGCAATGCAGGCAACACGGATAACACAGGCAACACGAGTAAAACAGGCAACACAGGCAACGCGAGTAAAACAGGCAATGCAGGCAACACGGATAACACAGGCAACACGAGTAAAACAGGCAATGCAGGCAACACGGATAACACAGGCAACGCAGGCAATACGAGTAAAACAGGCAACGCAGGCAACGCGAGTAAAACAGGCAATGCAGGCAACACGGATAACACAGGCAACGCAGGCAATACGAGTAAAACAGGCAACGCAGGCAACGCGAGTAAAACAGGCAATGCAGGCAACACGGATAACACAGGCAACGCAGGCAATACGAGTAAAACAGGCAACGCAGGCAACGCAGGTAACACGGGGAATACAGACAATACAGGTAACACAGACAACGCAGGTAACACAGGCAACGCAGGGAACACATGCAATACAGGTAATACAGGGCAACACAGGTAAAACAGGCAACAGCCAACATAGGTAACACAGGCAACGCAGATAAGAGGGGTAACACAGGCAACACGAGTAAAATGGCAACGCAAGCAACAGCCAACACAGGTAACAGGCAATACGGGTAACATAGGTAACACATGCAACACGGGTAACAGAGGGAACATGGTAACGCAGGCAACACAGGTAACACAGGCAACAGGGATAACACATGGGTTCGAATCCCAATGTTTGTGTGTCAACATCATACCCTGCCTGTGGCTGTCGCCCACATAAACGACCTACATCAATGTGTCGTCAACAGTCCGATGACAAGCAGTATATCACTGACACGCGGCTCACGGCGGACTTATATGAAACTCCCTCACTTACTCCAAAGCCAGAGTCTCGTATTCCAACTTACTTGGCCTTTACATTGACATACAAGTAGCTGTAGTTTCGTGAATAAGGGGACCGGTGGGTTAGCCTAGTAGTTAAAGCGCTCGGTCGTCACGACTAACACCCCGGTTCGATTCCCCACATGGGTACAACGTGTGAAACCTATTTCATGTGTCCCCCGCCGTGATATTACTGGAATATTTCTAACAGCGGCGTAAAACCATACTCACTCACTCATCGTGAATAAGAAACGCCGAAACCCGCAGGTATGTATGTTTTCTAACTTTGAAAAAACCCATCCCTACTTTCACAGGCTTCAAATACATATCCCTTCTTTCACAAACTTTAAAACATCCTTACTTTTACGAACTTAAAACACAAACATGAACCTACTTTCACAGACTTAAAACATATCCCTTCTTTCACAAACCTGAAACACTTCCTTATTTTTACGAACTTAAAACACATCCTTACTTTCACACTCAGTCACACTTAAAATGCATACCTGCTTTTAGACTTTGACAAAGCATATTTTTGTGGAAAAGATTTGAACTCTAATCCAGAACTCTTTGTAGTTTTCATTCATGCTGTGAATCGCCTTTGATTGACGAATCCGTCTTTACAATGTCTGGTAAAAGGCTCCTTAAATTTCGTGAAATCCCTAACGGTTATTTTATCAATCGATTGCTTGTTTTGGAATCATACTGATATGGATTACAGGAAATCTGGAGCCCTGAACAAGGATATAATCTTTATCTGGTGCACAGTTTTTCTCATCAACAGTTTTGCTAATTGCTTCAACATGAGTGAGTGAGTTGGGTTTAACGTCGCTTTTAACAGTATTCCAGTTATATCACGGCGTGTCAGCTAAATGTGGGAGGAAAGCCCGAAGTGATACAGGTCTTAGACGTTTACCACTTTGGTGAAACCCACGAGCACGGGTATGGTGATGATAAACCTAGAAACATAATCGGGGCGAAATATGTTTTAGCATGAATATCGTTATAGGAAGCATAATGTGTAAACAAATATCTGTTGATTTTTCAGTGTTCTGTCATGTGACCCTGTAACCGACATTGGCTGTCATCACACGGGACAGGTTCGAGTCCCGCCGGCGTCACACGTTTTCCAACAATATTTCAAATCATTCACTTGTTTGTAAATTCACTTGTTAAAAACGTCTTTCTTTCTTTCTTTGTTGTTTAACGCCGCACTCAGCAATATTATAGCGATATGACGGCCTGTAACTAATGGAGTCTCGACCAGACAATACAGTGATTCATGAGCATCGATACACACAATTGAGTGAGCGTGAGCGAGTATGGTTTTACGCCGCTTTTAGCAATATTCCAGCAATATCACGGCGGGGGACACCAGAAATGGGCTTCACACATTGTACCCATGTCGGGAATCGAACCCGGGTCTTCGGCGTGACGAGCAAACGCTTTAACCACTTGGCTACTCCACCGCCCCTCCACGCAATTTGGATCGATGACATGCATCAACCAAGTCAACGAGTCTGACCACCCGATCCTGTTAGGCACCTCTTACGAAAAGCATGATCGCCTTTTACGGCAAGCATGGGTTGCTGAAGACCTATTCTATGCCGGATCTTCACGGATCTGTTAAAAACTAGTTCCGTCGTTCCAAGTGGTATTTGTAATGTGGGTTCAAGATAATATCAGAATGAATTATAACTGACAACCATTTGTCTATTCGTAAACATCAATGGACCGTTAAAACGATAATAGCAGCTCCACCAGCATCATTGAAGTGCTCTACATATATTCTACATATATTCTAATAAGAAAGCTCAACTATAACAAAATACAGATAAATTGTTATCATATATATATATATATATATATATGTGTGTGTGTGTGTGTGTGTGTGTGTGTGTGTGTGTGTGTGTGTGTGTGTGTACTAACAAAGCTTTTTGAAAAGCATTTAGAGTGAGTGAGTGAGTATGGTTTTACTCCGCTTTTAGCAATAGTCCAGCAATATCATGGCGGGGGACACCAGAAATTGGCTTCACACATTGTACCCATGTCGGGAATCGAACCCGGGTCTTCGGCGTGACGAGCGAACGCTTTTACCACTAGGCTACCCGCAAAAAAAGCATTTAGAAGTGATACACATATCACCTGAATCAGACGTAAGTATACACTCCGAAACGTTGTGTTCCTCGTAATAAAAAAAAGTTGCCATCCCTAAAATCTCTTCCTTAACTAACAAGGGCTTCACCAGCCTCCTAAAGCATAACAACACACAACCTTTCGTACAGCGTTTTACCATCGCGACCTTCAACGCCAGGGCTACACATTATAAAATGTCAATTAGACAAACTCAGTTGTAAAATTATTCAACCAAGCGATCACAAACATGACTTTAATTTGATACAAGCTGAATACACGCGACCTTTATCGGGCGATGAACGGAAATCAATAAAAGACGTACGTAAAACGAGTAGAACTGAAGTCTGTATGTATTTCCCCGGTATAAATAATGTATTGATGTCCAAGGCTGTTGTCACGTTGTGCGCCGTGTGAGACGACGTCTGTGAAAAGGCACGTACGCAATAATAAGCTCATCTGTGGACAGATGTGGACTTTAGGGGTCCAAGCTGGACAATGTACTCTGCTTTTAGCATATATTTTGATGCGGACAATTCCAAATAGTAAGTGAGTTGGGTTTAACGCTGCTTTTAACAATATTCCAGTTATATCAAGACTTGTCAGCTTAATGTGGGAGGACAGCCCGAGGTGATGCAGGTCTCAGACGTTTACAAATTCGGTGAAACCCACGAGCACGGGTATGGTGCTGACAGACCTAGAAAAATAATCAGGGTGAACCGGGATTCGAACCTACAATCTTAGATTTCTGGCGTGCCCAAGGGACGCAACTCTGCACAGCGAATAGCGGCGCCTTAGACGATCCAGTGATCCAGTGATCCAGTGATGCTTAAAACTGTCAAGGCCAATCAGCAGCACCCACCATGTTTAAATGAATAATGAAAAAAATTGAAAGTGAACACAGCGTTTTTGCTTGCTTAAGATGAATTAGGGATACATTTCATTTTTCATTTTTTTATTACGTGTTTGTATCGTTATCGTGTAGTACTCCGATTTTCGATCACGTACGTTGATACTACTTAATTTCGTTTATCCGACATACTCGTTAATCCGACATAATCATATGCAACCAACCCTGCGGCTTAACGGGACTTGTTTGGATTGTATTTGTACCAAAAGGAACAAATAAAGTTTCAAATTAAAAACTTGACAAATCATGCAGCGTTACAGGGATGACACCTAGGCCCACTTGCACAAAGCGATCTTAGCGCTAAGATGATCGTAACTCCCACACTTTAACATAGGCTTACAATTGTCGTAATGCTAAGATTGCTTTGTGCTTTTAAAGCCCATTTCTCCTACCCCATTCGTATGCACCGTTCTTTTAACGTCAACAAACGTCGCATGGCGGGAGTAATGCTGTGCGGTGTCAGACAACGAACACGTGTTAACATTTTTTATACAAATTGTGTAAGTTGCGGTGCTATCGGCAGGGCATGACATGCGAATCCGCGAACACCCCGTGTCATTAATGTTTTCAGTGAACCAATATTCAATTTTCACAATGTTTTGATTTTACGCCCAATGGCATCAGGTTCGGCGGACAACCGTTACCGATTATACCGACTGACGTTGTATATTTCCACATGACAGTGACCGGATTTACACTCAGTGGAACGTTGGAAGGACGGTCTCCAGGGGATGGTACCTCCTCGAGAAACGTTGTGATGGGAATTAATTATTCCGTTATTATCGAGAAGATCATCCGTGAGTGAATTGTTTTATGCCGCCTTTAAAACTCATTTTAGGAGACGACAGCGGGGACACCGTGAACTTTTCAACCAGTGTGTTATATTTATCGATCCCCTTGAAGAGATGGCGGCTGCAGTTTGTAAACAGATTCAAGAGAAAAACAAATTGGCACTGCTATTACTCCATGTGTGTCTAATTTCGGGTCAGCAGATCCATGTATGTTTTGTTGTTTGTTTGTTGTTTAACACCGCACTCAGCAATATTCCAGCTATATGACGGCGGTCTGTAAATAATCGAGTCTGGACCACACAATCCAGTGATTGACATCATGAACATCGATCAACGCCATTGGGATACGATGGCATGCATCAACCAAGTCAGCGAGCCTGACCACCCGATCCTGTTAGTCGCCTTTTACGACAAGCTTAGTCGCCTTTTACGGCAAGCATGGTTGCTGAAGACCTATTCTAACCCAGAACCCATATATACCATGTTTCATATACACAGCGGAATTCGTTAATTCAAAATGAAATCATCCGGATTAACGAATGTCCGGATTGGAAAATCACGGGTACAAAGTAAAGTCCCCTTTGGATATTTTGAGCATTCCGAGTACTTATCTTTCAACACCACCTCGTGGTCTAGTGGATAGGGCGTCTGCTTGTAGAGTATAAGATCGGTGGTTCGATCCCCGGGCGCGTCAAACCAAAGGTCGGTAAACGGTTGTATTTGTTGTGACCCAAACTGACGCTCGACATGAAGGGGCTAAACCAAGGACTTGCCGGATTCAGTAGACTGTGTTGTATG